GCAGAATATTACGATACAATTGGGGCAGGTGGTCAATGGGGCTCAGCCTTATCTGAGAATGACTGCAAAGCCTTGATGAAAATACACATGTATTTAAATCTGAAATTATAACATATTTTGATTAACTTATACTTGAGTAAAAAGAAAGCCCCTATAAAAATAATAATAATATGCCATTTAGCAGACGCTTTTATCCAAAGCGACTTACAGTCATGCGTGCATACATTTTTTTTTATTTTTTTTGTGTATGGGTGGTCCCGGGGATCGAACCCACTACCTTGGCGTTACAAGCGCCGTGCTATACCAGCTGAGCTACAGAGGACCTTTATTGTAAGAGTAGCACCTATATTTGCCACTCTTACGATAAAGACATCCACACCAAAACAGATCACCATCAAGCAGGTGAATATATCACCAATAAATATGCCAACTCATTGGCTTTAATCATTTTCATATATCTTTATTCAAGGACTTCTATTCATACAAAATGTAATGGTAGAAATGACTGTAGGATTGACAGTCATAGGCCTATAACATATCAGGCAGCAAATGACCCACTTGCTCCAGACCAGAACCTTTTGCACTTAACCACACGAATGGTTCAATACTTTCGTTAAAATGTTATTCAACCTATTTGTCTTTCCAGAAACAAAGACATATGCATTAAAGATCTTCAGAAAATACAACCAGTGAACAGATTGTTTATCTTCATACACTACATTCTTTATACAATGTATTTTTTTTGCACATGCACATACTTTTCATAACATGCAAACATGACATGTCCAGGGAATATAGCCACAGGAAAACTGGATGAGGTATACTGAGACAAACTGGTGTGGTTTTAAAATTGGCATCCTATTTAATGGGGGTTTGGGGTGGGGTGAGTGAGTGAGTGAGTGAGTGAGTGAGTGAGTGAGTGAGTGAGTGAGGTTTAAAAAATGTATGGGTCTGTTCACAGATCTAGGGGTACACACTGATTTTATCCCCCACTATGACACCATATTGTGACATTTAGAGGCCAAAGGAAGATTCCTGCAATCCTACAAATAGCCATGTTCACATTTACAGACTTCAATTCAAAGTCTAATACTTCACCTTTGACGATCCATCAAATAGATTGCACGATATACAGTGGGGAAAAAAAGTATTTAGTCAGCCACCAATTGTGCAAGTTCTCCCACTTAAAAAGATGAGAGAGGCATGTAATTTTCATCATAGGTACACGTCAACTATGACAGACAAATTGAGAATTTTTTTCTCCAGAAAATCACATTGTATGATTTTTAATGAATTTATTTGCAAATTATGGTGGAAAATAAGTATTTGGTCACCTACAAACAAGCAAGATTTCTGGCTCTCACAGACCTGTAACTTCTTATTTAAGAGGCTCCTCTGTCCTCCACTCGTTACCTGTATTAATGGCACCTGTTTGAACTTGTTATCAGTATAAAAGACACCTGTCCACAACCTCAAACAGTCACACTCCAAACTCCACTATGGCCAAGACCAAAGAGCTGTCAAAGGACACCAGAAACAGAATTGTAGACCTGCACCAGGCTGGGAAGACTGAATCTGCAATAGGTAAGCAGCTTGGTTTGAAGAAATCAACTGTGGGAGCAATTATTAGGAAATGGAAGACATACAAGACCACTGATAATCTCCCTCGATCTGGGGCTCCACGCAAGATCTCACCCCGTGGGGTCAAAATGATCACAAGAACGGTGAGCAAAAATCCCAGAACCACACGGGGGGACCTAGTGAATGACCGGCAGAGAGCTGGGACCAAAGTAACAAAGCCTACCATCAGTAACACACTACGCCGCCAGGGACTCAAATCCTGCAGTGCTGACGTGTCCCCCTGCTTAAGCCAGTACATGTCCAGGCCCGTCTGAAGTTTGCTAGAGTGCATTTGGATGATCCAGAAGAGGATTGGGAGAATGTCATATGGTCAGATGAAACCAAAATATAACTTTTTGGTAAAAACTCAACTCGTCGTGTTTGGAGGACAAAGAATGCTGAGTACCATCCAAAGAACACCATACCTACTGTGAAGCATGGGGGTGGAAACATCATGCTTTGGGGCTGTTTTTCTGCAAAGGGACCAGGACGACTGATCCGTGTAAAGGAAAGAATGAATGGGGCCATGTTTTGTGAGATTTTGAGTGAAAACCTCCTTCCATCAGCAAGGGCATTGAAGATGAAACGTGGCTGGGTCTTTCAGCATGACAATGATCCCAAATACACCGCCTGGGCAACGAAGGAGTGGCTTCGTAAGAAGCATTTCAAGGTCCTGGAGTGGCCTAGCCAGTCTCCAGATCTCAACCCCATAGAAAATCTTTGGAGGGAGTTGAAAGTCCGTGTTGCCCAGCGACAGCCCCAAAACATCACTGCTCTAGAGGAGATCTGCATGAAAGAATGGGCCAAAATACCAGCAACAGTGTGTGAAAACCTTGTGAAGAGTTACAGAAAACGTTTGACCTGTGTCATTGCCAACAAAGGGTATATAACAAAGTATTGAGAAACTTTAGTTATTGACCAAATACTTATTTTCCACCATAATTTGCAAATAAATTCATTAAAAATCCTACAATGTGATTTTCTGGATTTTTTTTTCTCATTTTGTCTGTCATAGTTGACGTGTACCTATGATGAAAATTACAGGCCTCTCTCATCTTTTTAAGTGGGAGAACTTGCACAATTGGTGGCTGACTAAATACTTTTTTTCTCCACTGTATCTGACTCTAGAAAACAAAATAAATGTGATTTCTGATTTAGTACAATAAAAACCAACATTTGTACATCTGGGTGGTTCTATCAGGGTACATGCAAATCGACTTGCTGAACTCAAAATGCCCCTTTGACATAATTCAATTTATAACCATTGTGCCTTCATCAATGCATTTTCCATGTACATGATATACTACATTTACATTTTACAACTCTGTTAATAAATCCTACGTAAAATTTGGTAAAAAATCATGCTAAAGCCTGAACCTGGAGACTCCAGAGGGTCAAGCTACAGGGCAGGGAAGAATTTGTCCCAAAGTGTAATCTTGTTGCATAGCCCTACTTTAAAGAGTCGACAATCAACACAACCCTTCAATACCTGTGAACACACAAGGTTGTAGGCTATATATCAGTTAGTGAAACCCTTCACACGACCCTGTTTTTTTTTCAGGATAAATATATTTGGAAGAAAACAAACCCTTGAGATATTGGCAAAAGTGGCAGAATTCATAAGCATACTCTACATTTACTCTATTTTATCTGAAAGATATGGAGGCATTTATTTGAATATATTGTTTCTATCGATAAGAACATGTAAAGTGAAACTTTCCTTGTTGGAAGGAATCACAAAGGGCACTTTTTCCCTTGGAACCACTTTTCCTTCCATCTCACTCTGGCAGTGCTGTATATTTTTGGAAGAGAAAGACAAAAGCCCTGTAAAGTACAGACAACTTTGACATGTTCAAGACCCTGGCATGCATTACATTGCTTGCTTTGGATCTGTAGTTCTGACCTACTTATAACTACTATATTGTACATAATCATTACACAAAAATAATTTTTTGCATTCTTTCCCTCCTTCGAGATTCAAAGAAAAGGCTTTGTTCATTCCAAACCAGCAATTCATACTGTAGTCCTTAAATTCTGTAAACCTTTATTTCCTTTACAACTATATACATTTCTACTCATATGCATAACCAGTTATTATATACCTCATATACTGTATACCTAATATCATACGTTCCACCCTCTCCTCTGCTCTCCAGTGTTGATACATCACGAAAGTCAGGCTGCTTTACAATAACACATCTTTAATGATAGGCACTTGGTATTCAGCCACTAGAGCAATACGTTAGAAACAGCTGACCTACCCAACTACACTAATATCATTTAGGTACAACTCACAAAATAATGAACATCATGAAAAGATATTCCATCTAATGTTATAGTTCCATAGAAAATGTATTAGAATCTTCGGTCCTTCTGTGTTATTTTTTTGTTGAGAAATGGTTCAACATGTCATGGGTGACATGGAAAAACAGCAGCAATACTATACCTACTTAACCATATACTATCCCTTATGTATGTTACTGTAATACCTATATGGGTCTGTCAGTGAGAAGCCCAAAGCTTGTGTAAAAAGAGTTAAAGAGATACACTAAAGTATTTTCTGCAGAGAGGGAGGGGATTTGAGTGGTAGTGCATTTTTATCATCACTTGTGCCTCCTGGTTCCTCTCATTTTACTTCCAGGGCCAGCAGACACATTAAAGGAAAACACACACCATACGCAGTAGATCACCTGCTGGGTGTCAACGAACATTGGTGATTCATTGTGTAGAATCGTCTGGAAATTAATACAAAATGGCGGCTGATGGTCTGTGGTTAGAGGCGATAGGCCACCCGCTGCTTTTAACCGTTTGACAGCACAGTGTGTTTTGTCCTTTAGACAGCAATAGCATGTAGCCCCATTTTAAAACTGGAATAAAGGGGGAAGGAAAGGTTTTTATCTGCTCAATCCTGCAGAGAAACCTGTTCACAGTCTTAGTTGTTTTCCCCCACAGACAGTAGGAAGACATTTTGGCTTTTTTTCATCTACTAAAACAATGATTTCACTGACCAAGGCAAAATACTCACAGGGATTTCACATGTGCTCTGGACTATGCACACTATCGAAATAAGCTTTAATTTCAGTGCAAGAAGGGAATTGAGAAAATGTCATAGCAGGTGTCCTTTGACCTTTAGTGTCCTTTGTGTAGAAAAGAGAAAACATCACAAAAGAACGGGAATGATTTTCCTTTTCAGAGTACTTTTTCAATATTTTACACATCTTGGAACATATCCCTCACCCTTGAGCACCTAAGAGCACACAGGAACTGACATCAACACTGTACTGTCATCTGCACAAAAGATGAGCGAGTTCATCAACATTCAAGCTAAAACGCTTTCAGATATGTGAAGGGGGATGTTAGCTAAGCCACGCTATGCAACACTAGCACCAGTCATCCTCTTCCTTCTCCCGGAAGCTCCCAGTCCCTCTGGGGCTGGAGCTTGAACTGGCGTTGACCCCAAGAGTGAAGTGGTACCCATTTGGGACCCCAGCCCGGCCCTGTGGGGCAGGGGCAGAAGAAGGCCCAGCAGCCCCATGGGAGGCTGAGGCAGCGGTCCTAGGGGAGCGGCTCCCTCCATGGGTGCTCACAGCATCCTGGAAGTCGTCAGGCTCCTCAGGGAGGCTGTGTGGAGGGGCGTTCCGTGGACAGGGGCTCAGGTTTGGGTCTGAGCCAATGAGGGTGACGGGCAAGGGGGGTGACTCCAGCAGAGCGTTATGATCCGAGAGGCCACGACTGAGAAGGGACTGGTGCCCCGTGGCACCAAACTGCACAGGCAAGGAGTTTCCAGTCTTGTAGGCCACGGCGGGGCGGGGGGTCAGGGGGGTCTGGGGGAGCTGTCTGCGCCCACGGCAGGGTGTGATAGACCCAGAAGTTAGGACCGCTTGGCTGCCTTTACCCATGCCGATACTCTGCAGGAGACAGAAAACAAAGCAGAGAGCAGTAGAGATGAAGTGATGGACAGGATATCGGCCCCCTAACCTAAATCATCTCACCCTAAAGCAGCACTAACATCTCACTCTCAACCCCAAGCTCCAGGGCTACTCACCTGCTTGAAGAGGCCTAGGTCGTAAGTCTCTCCAGGGGAGGTGGAGCGGCTGGGGCCAGCTGACTTGGTGTGGCAGTGCTCCCTGCCTCCGTAGCGCTCACAGGAGTAGTAACGCTTCTTCTCCCCGGCTGCAGAGTGGTGCCTCCTCTCCTGAGGCCGGCCACGGTCACGCTCCCTCGCCCGCTCCCTGGACAAGCCCTCTACAGGAGGGTCAACAGGCGAACCTGGGGCACACACACACAGGATTAGGGACTGAAGTAACATACACGCATGTGGAGTATGTGTGTGTGTGCATCCCTCAGACCAAATTAAAAGGAATAAAGCCAAAACATCAGGAAGTGATTTCTGCTGACCTTTCAATTTTCTTCCAAAATTCTATGTTCTGATGAAAACCACGACAGAACAGCTTCAAGTGGCTGTTTTTCACTCTTCATGTGTCAGAGCCCTGTCCTAGTGTGTCTGTCCCAGAGGAATGTATCGCTTTCTCTTAATCTCCCTCCCTCTCTCTCTCTAACTCGCTCTCCTTCCCTCCTCCCTCTCGCCTTCTCGCCTTCTCCTCCTCTCTGTCTTCATCTCTACCTCCCTCCTTCCTTCCCTCCCCTCCACTGCCAAAAGGTGTCCATAAATCCCCGACTGGGCCTGCCCAATAAAGCCCAGCTGCTGCTGCCCTCCAACGCTAACACAAAAACCACCCTGCGCTCCTGGCATTACCCTCCATCTCCACTACACCATGACCACAGACTGATCTCTATTGCAGATCACCTCCATGTCCTCATCAGTGGACACTTGGCTGACCAGCCAGCCCACCAGTTCCATGGATCATGTTTCTGCTTCATGGAGATCATGGCTAGGTTCCAATTGGCACCCTATTCCCTGTGTAGTGCACTACTTTTGACCAGAGCCCTATGGGACCTGGTCAATAGTGCACTATATAGTGAATAGGGTGCAACTTCAGACATTACCTCATACAGAGCAAACAGGGACTTAGGGGTGTCATCATGGTATCTGAGCGATGTGAAATGGTACGGTATCTGTGTGGTTGTCTATGAATTAGGTCAGTATGGGTTTGAGTGTGTATTTATGACCTTTGACCTATGTGAGAAAACATGAACTACACCAACACAACTCTTGGCTGCTGAGGCCCATGTTCTGTGGGGCTCAGGCTGCCTGAGATATTCTCGACTAGAAGTAAAAGGGGGTTTTAGCCTCACTCAGTCACAGCCTGTACATGAGACAGGCTAATTTCACATCGTACACAGTTTGTAGAGCGGCAGCCCCATCACCCATAAGGGGAGCTACTATTGGAGCAGCTTAGCCAACATTTTATAACTACTTTTTTTGAGGCCATTGTACAAAGAAGAACGCCGAATACAAATCAAAAATCTAATCCCCACAAAGCAGATTTTCCTCAGGGAGCTCATAAGTCTCTTTGCTAGTCAGATGGAAAACTTGACACGCAAAATCCCTGGCTCAAGCCCTTAGGGAAGCGCAACAGAGAAACCCCTTTCCTTCATAACCCGTTTCCTTCATAACCCGATCAGGCCCTTAATCCAATAAGGAATTTATGCCACTATGCAAAGGCGTCCAAGCGATTTGGAACAAGTGCTAGGTCTCTAGGTTTCTTTCGCTGCCTCTGAGAATGAAAGGTTTCCTTACTCTATTTCTGTATGAATTCATAGTTCAACAACTAGGATTCCACAGTGAGTGAGATATCTTTGAGTGTGTGTATGTTGCTGCATAAGTGTAGGTATGCATGTGAACATGAGTACATGACCATGTGAAACAAGTCTGTGTGTGCATCTGTGTTTCTGCACATGCATGCATCATGTGGGTACCCCTCTCACATGCTGTACTAGAAGGCTGAACGCTGGTTGCCCTGTCGAGTGACTTCTGCTTCTTGTCCCGGTCCTTGTCCCTGCGTCTGTGACAGCGGTGGTGGTGGTGATGGTGGTGGGTCCTGTCCTGGGCCTGACCTGGGGCTGAGGAGGCCTGGGCTTGGGCCTGTCTGGGCCGCTCCAGGGTGTAGTCCCTTAGATTCACCTCCTGGGGGCGCTGGGAAGCCAACATGGATGCCGACCGTCTGATAGGACTGATGTCAGCAATAGGCTGAGAGGAGCGAGCAAAGAGGAAGAACAGTGAGTGGAGGAATACAAGATGGAGGGCTAGCTACCATAGTAGTGTAGCGTTAGAGTGTTATAGAATACAGCACAACCAAAGCACTACTGGACTGGAGCACCAAGCACCAAACTGTTCACTAGACACAGTACAGACGAGGAGGTACGACCGACCGGTGGATACCACTCTCTGGGCTTGAGACTGACGTTCAACCTCTTCAGACACAGATGTTGAGGAGACATTTCTGACTAAAACACTCCGCGATTTCAACTCACTATATTTCATCTTGAACACATCACTAATGATTGGCATAGCACCCTTCGAATCCCAAATCAACCCCTTTGCCCCTATCCCTAGGGCCTAGGCACATGATATAGATCCGAAAGGATAGGGTAGGTATAATCAATATGGTAATGACTCTACCTTGCCCCTGGCCCCTGGCTAGCTCGGGTCCAGGGCATTATGTGAGGCTTGCTGACGTTGTAGGATGGCACAGCATCAGCAAGCCACATGTAACGCCGTGGACCAGAGCTATGGCCTCTGGCACGCTACGTGGCAACATACTGGCACCGTACCATATTCACCATACTGCCTAAATCTATCACATTTTTGGAATACACACAGGTGCATAGGGGGTAAGAGGTAAGGTCTGATTTGGGGTTGGGTGTACATAATGTTGGGTCCAAGTTGTTAAAACTTGTCATAAGCTAGCAGGAGACACTGCTAGTGAAGTAAGAAAAAGAAGGGTGTTGACATTTCCCATTAAATATTCCACACCTTGACAAGCTCAGATTTTTCTGTCTTTGAAAGAAGCTTGATTACGCAGTAAAATTAACATGGCAAAAGAGAACATTATGAAGTTTAAGACTGCTGGAAATGAATGCATTGACAGCTTCTATCAATGTGGCCAATTAGTAGTCAGTACAATACCAGTCAAACGTTTGGACACACCTAGGGTTTTTCTTTATTTTTACTATTTTCTACATTGTAGAATAATAGTGAAGACATCAAAACTATGAAATAACACATATGGAATCATGTAGTAAGCAAAAAAGTGTTAAACAAATCAAAATATACAGTGGGGAGAACAAGTATTTGATACACTGCCGATTTTGCAGGTTTTCCTACTTACAAAGCATGTAAAGGTCTGTTATTTGTATCATAGGTACACTTCAACTGTGAGAGACGGAATCTAAAACAAAAATCCAGAAAATCACATTGTATGATTTTTAAGTAATTGATTTGCATTTTATTGCATGACATAAGTATTTGATACATCAGAAAAGCAGAACTTAATATTTGGTACAGAAACCTTTGTTTGCAATTACAGAGATCATACGTTTCCTGTAGGTCTTGACCAGGTTTGCACACACTGCAGCAGGGATTTTGGCCCACTCCTCCATACATACCATCTCCAGATCCTTCAGGTTTCGGGGCTGTCGCTGGGCAATACGGGCTTTCAGCTCCCTCCAAATATTTTCTATTGGGTTCAGGTCTGGAGACTGGCTAGGCCACTCCAGGACCTTGAGATGCTTCTTACGGAGCCACTCCTTAGTTGCCCTGGCTGTGTGTTTCGGGTCGTTGTCATGCTGGAAGACCAGCCACGACCCATCTTCAATACTCTTACTGAGGGAAGGAGGTTGTTGGCCAAGATCTCGCGATACATGGCCCCATCCATCCTCCCCTCAATACGGTGCAGTCGTCCTGTCCCCTTTGCAGAAAAGCATCCCCAAAGAATGATGTTTCCACCTCCATGCTTCACGGTTGGGATGGTGTTCTTGGGGTTGTACTCATCCTTCTTCTTCCTCCAAACACGGCGAGTGGAGTTTAGACCAAAAAGCTCTGTTTTTGTCTCAGCAGACCACATGACCTTCTCCCATTCCTCCTCTGGATCATCCAGATGGTCATTGGCAAACTTCAGACAGGCCTGGACATGCGCTGGCCTGAGCAGGGGGACCTTGCGTGCGCTGCAGGATTTTAATCCACGACGGCGTAGTGTGTTACTAATGGTTTTCTTTGAGACTGTGGTCCCAGCTCTCTTCAGGTCATTGACCAGGTACTGCCGTGTAGTTCTGGGCTGATCCCTCACCTTCCTCATGATCATTGATGCCCCACGAGGTGAGATCTTGCATGGAGCCCCAGACTGAGGGTGATTGACCGTCATCTTGAACTTCTTCCATTTTCTAATAATTGCGCCAACAGTTGTTGCCTTCTCACCAAGCTGCTTGCCTATTGTCCTGTAGCCCATCCCAGCCTAGTGCAGGTCTACAATTTTATCCCTGATGTCCTTACACAGCTCTCTGGTCTTGGTCATTGTGGAGAGGTTGGAGTCTGTTTGATTGAGTGTGTGGACAGGTGTCTTTTATACAGGTAACGAGTTCAAACAATTGCAGTTAATACAGGTAATGAGTGGAGAACAGGAGGGCTTCTTAAAGAAAAACTAACAGGTCTGTGAGAGCCGGAATTCTTACTGGTTGGTAGGTGATCAAATACTTATGTCATGCAATAAAATGCAAATTAATTACTTAAAAATCATACAATGTGATTTTCTGGATTTTTGTTTTAGATTCCGTCTCTCAAAGTTTAAGTGTACCTATGATAAAAATTACAGACCTCTACATGCTTTGTAAGTAGGAAAACCTGCAAAATCGGCAGTGTATCAAATACTTGTTCTCCCCACTGTATTTTATATTTGAGATTCTTCAAATAGCCACCCTTTGCCTTGATGACAGCTTTGCACACTCTTGGCATTCTCTCAACCAGCTTCATGAGGTAGTCACCTGGAATGCATTTCAATTAACAGGTGTGCCTTCTTAAAAGTTCATTTGTGGAATTTATTTCCTTCTTAATGTATACAGAAGATAGCCCTATTTGGTAAAAGACCAAGTCCATATTATGACAATAACTGCTCAAATAAGCATAGAGAAACGACAGTTCATCATTACTTTAAGACATTAAGGTCAGTCGATACGGAGAATGTCAAGAACTGGCTCTCATGAAGACCGCCACAGGAATGGAAGACCCAGAGTTACCTCTGCTGCAGAGGATAAGTTCATTAGAGTTACCAGCCTCAGAAATTGCAGCTCAAATAAATGCTTCACAGAGTTCAAGTAACAGACACATCTCAACATCAACTGTTCAGAGGGGACTGTGTGAATCATGCCCTCATGGTCGAATTGCTGCAAAGAAACCACTACTAAAGGACACCATTAAGAAGAAGAGACCTGCTTGGGCCAAGAAACACGAGCCATGGACATTAGACCGGTGGAAATGTGTCCTTTGGTCTGGAGTCAAATGTGAGATTTTTGGTTCCAACCACCGTGTCTTTGTGAGACGCGGTGTGGGTGAACGGATGATCTCTGCATGTGTATTTCCCACCGTAAAGCATTGAGGAGGTGGTGTTATGGTGTGGGGGTGCTTTGCTGCTGACACTGTCTGTGATATATTTAGAATTCAAGGCACACTTAACCAGCATGGCTGCCACAGCATTATGCAGTGATATGCCATCCCATCTGGTTTGGGCTTAGTGGGACTATAATTTGTTTTTCAACAGGACAATGGCCCAACACACCTCCAGGCTGTGTAAGGGCTATTTTACCAAGAAGGAGAGTGATGGAGTGCTGCATCAGATGACCTGGCCTCCACAATCCCCCGACCTCAACCCAACTGAGATGGTTTGGGATGAGTCGGACCGCAGAGTGAAGGAAAAGTAGTCAACAAGTGCTCAGCATATGGGGGAACTCCTTCAAGACTGTTCGAAAAGCATTCCAGGTGAAGCTGGTTGAGAGAATGCCAAGAGTGTGCAAAGCTGTCATCAAGGCAAAGGGTGGCTATTTGAAGAATCTCCAATATAACATATTTTGATTTGTTTAACACTTTTATGTTTTACTACATGATTCCATATGTGTTATTTCATAGTTTTGATGTCTTCACTATTATTCTACAATGTAAAGAATTGTAAAAAAATAAAGAAAAACCCTTGAATGAGTAGGTGTGTGCAAACTTTTGACTGGTAGTGTACATCATTACAGTTATTTCTAAACTACTTCAATACTAAACATCAGGGTGATACTGTAGTTGCTTAATAGGAATGTCTCCCCCCTACCGGATTCTTATCTGACCGAATGGCTCTGCCTGGACTGGAGGTACAGTAACTAAGCTGATAGGCTGGAACGCTAACTACGTTATCACTCCCTCTGGTGGTCACAGCCTGGGTGACATCCTGCCATAGTCTCCTCAAAAAAGCATGTGAGTATTCCCAATATAAAAGTCCTATTCAATTTTCAGTTCTAAGTTTAGTTCTTAATTCATTGTTGAATCGGTACGGCCACAAGTCAACTGACTGATATTCTAGATGAAAACCAAATTGATTCTTGAGGTATACACTCCGTTGTGCTTGTTCCAAGAGTTCCTATCACACAGTCCTGGCCAGTAGCTTCAGTCAGTGGATTGTACAACAACAACAACGACAACAACATACAAAGAGAGAACAGTACAGTTATGTCAGTAGGAAAGTAGGAAAGTAGGAAAATAGCAGTCCCTGATTACATTAAACATTAACACACCACCCACTGAAACAACATTCAAAACACTAATTCTCAAAAATATCATATGATTGTCAATTCATGGAAAGAAAGCAGAAAGGGTGTTTGGCGTACCATGCATTCGGAAAGTATTCATACCTCTTGACTTTTCCCACATTTAGTTATGTTACCGCCTTATTCTAAAATGGATTTTAAAAAATGTATCCTCAGCAATCTACACACAATACCCCATAATGACAAAGCGAAAACAGGTTTTTAGAAATGTTTGCAAATGTATTACAAATAAAAAACAGAAATACCTTATTTACATAAGTATTCAGACCCTTTGCTATGAGAGTCGAAGTTCCAGAGTTCCTCTGTGGAGATGGGAGAACCTTCCAGAAGGACAACCATCTCTGCAGCACTCCACTAATCAGGCATTTATGGTAGAGTGGCCAGACGGAAGCCACATGACAGCCCACTTGGAGTTTGCCAAAAGGCACCTAAAGACTCTCAGACTATGGGAAACAAGATTTTCTGGTCTGATGAAACCAAGATTTAACTCTTTGGCCTGACTGCCAAGCGTCACGTCTGGAGGAAACCTGGCACCATCCCTACGGTGAAGCATGGTGGTGGCAGCATCCTGCTGTGGGGATGTTTTTCAGCGGCAGGGACGGGGAGACTAGTCAGGATTGAGGCAAAGATGAACGGAGAAAAGTACAGAGAGATCCTTGATGAAAACCTGCTCCAGAGCGCTCAGGACCTCAGACTGGGGTAAAGGTTCACCTTCCAACAGGACAACGACCCTAAGCACACAGCCAAGACAATGCAGGAGTGGCTTTGGGACAAGTCTCTGAATATCCTTGAGTGGCCTAGCCAGAGCCCGGACTTAAACCCGATCTAACATCTCTGTAGAGACCTGAAAATAGCTGTGCAGCGATGCTCCCCATCCAACCTGACAGAGCTTGAGAGGATCTGCAGAGAAGAATGGGATAAACTCCCCAAATACAGGTGTGCCAAGCTTGTAGAGTCATACCCAACATGACTCAATGCTGTAATCGCTGCCAAAGGTGCTTCAACAAAGTACTGAGTAAAGGGTCTGAATACTTATGTAAATGTGATATTTCAATTTTATATTTTTAATAAATTAGCAAAACATTATAAATACCAGTTTTTGCTTTGTCATTATGGGGTATTGTGTGTAGATTGATGAGGGGAAAAAAACAATCAACTTTAGAATAAGGCTGTAACATAAGAAAATGTGGAGAAAGTCAAGGGGTCTGAATACTTTCCGAATGCTCTGTATGTGGGGGAACATTCAAAGTACTAAAACACTGAACAATAGTTCTACTGTGGGTGATGTGGATCTTGACTACTCACACCAATATGGGCTTAAACTAATGTCTAAAGAGTGTCAGACTGATGGTGAGCAATGTTCCCTCTAATAGTTTTCGGCTCTGAACAAATTTCAGGTCTGCTGAACGCAAACTTGAACATTGTGAAAATTCTGTGCAACTTCCAGCGCGTGTTTACTATGAACACTGAGGCTGTACCCGCTTTAAGTTACAGTTTTAACAGTGGCCAAGTAGGCTACTGTGGCGATTAGATCATAATGTAGGCCTACCTGATTGGATCACCATAAAAAACAACGGAGAAAATGCAACTTTTACAGTTTTAACATGGAAATAGCTGTTCTATCATTCAGCCTACAGTAGCAGCCAAGGTGTGGTGTTCAATGTAGGATTTTTGAAAAAATCATGCAGGGTTTGACATTAATCTGTTTATCCACTCGTCCTTCAGACAAGGAGGTGACTGAAAATGTTGTGTTGTTTGATGCAAGAAACCACTTTACAATTTAAAATGCATTATTATTCCCATTCCATTATTACAGAGAATCAGATAAATGATGCTCCCCTCTGCCTATTGGCTACTTAGCTTATTCAAGCCTGTCTCAAAATACAACACTGCTCCTTTAAGACAAATAAAAGCTCTACCTGACTCGCATTTCAAAGATGTCTAGAAATGTGCGAACTCCACACTGGAATGGAGGGAGCACAGAGGCAAACATAGAGTTTGAAAAAGAGGAATGCGAGAGAGAAAGGGAAAGAGATATATAGAAAGAGAGAGAGGAGAGGAGAGGAGAGGAGAGGAGAGGAGAGGAGAGGAGAGGAGAGGAGAGGAGAGGAGAGGAGAGGAGAGGAGAGGAGAGGAGAGGAGAGGAGAGGAGAGGAGAGGCGGAACAGGTGTACATACTGCCAGGTAGGTCCCAGGTAGGAGGCGAGGGTGGTTCCGCTATTAGACACAGGAGGGAGGTGGGCACAACATTAGCCATGGGAGTCAAGAGGAGAAGAGGAGGGAGGATGGGAGGAATGGGAGTGGATGGGGAGACAGGAAGACAGATCGACAGCAAAGCGAGACAGACATGTTTCATATGGTTAGACGTGTGAACCAATCACACAGCTGGAAAGAAGGGTCCAGAAAAAGTATTCAAGAGGGAAGAAACCAGGACTCCATTTACCATCGGAGCAGGGAGAAAAATATGGAGAAAAAAAATGAAAGACATTAATAAAAATACAGAAAATTAATATAAGGGGAAAACAATTTTGGACATTGACTATATCCATAATGGATATAATAACGTTTGTGTGAAAAACAAAATCATGCAAATGGGTCAAAAAATATGTGGAAATGGATTTCAACATTTATAAACAGCATGATGAAGATGGGGCATAGTTGAAATAAGGTTTTATGCAATTCCCTAAAAAAATTTCACCTGAACTTTTCGGGGAGAGAGATATTTGCAAATGACATTATTATATTACATCAGATTAGCATCAGTTGTTTAAAACATTATTTTTTAAATATTGTGTAGTATGCTAAATACTCTGTGTTAACAGAGATAAACATTATTCTCGTTCAGGTACAGTGTCGCTATCTGTTCCAGTCACTGTATTGCTGGGGACATGGCTCTACATTCAGAATTGTTGAGGAAATATTATAGTGAGATGTCACATAAGGTCTACATCACAAATGGCACCCTATTCCCTATATAGTGCACTAGTTCTGACCAGAGTCATATGGGTATATTGTATAGGGAATAGGGTGCCATTTGGGATTCACACAAGGTCAGCAGAATGACTTGATGTGCACTGACAGACAGCATCTCTGCTTTAGTTAGCCTGTGGCTGCTTTCACTAATTAATGTCTTCCTACCTACCTTTATCTTCTGTCTTTCTTCTACTCTATCTTTCTCTATCCTACTGTATGTTCTCTTTCACTTCTACTACTTTCCTCACTCCCTTCCTCTTGGACTATGTATCATAGTAATATCAGCATCAAGTACTACTGACTGTCTGAGAAAGTATTATTTAATACTGTCAACTCTGGAGTATTAACTGTGTTGTACGAACCCTAACCTGTATAATTTGTACTGCTGTACAACTAGAATTGTCCTAATGTTGACATTGTCCTATTTGTAGAATCAATGCCCTTTGATTTGTGCAGGCACCATGTTGGCAGCCCTAGCGGGTCCTGGTGGGGTCCTTTGTGAGAGAGTAAAGGGGTACAGTAAGGCGGTGAGTGATGAAGGACTTACATAGTACTGGGAGTCCAGTCTTGGCATGGAGGCTGCTCTGCCATGGCCATCAAGACCAGAGTAGCCCCCTATATCAGCACCGTTCTCCACCTGCCTCATCTCCACTGATTCCTAAAAGTTAAGTTGAGGGTACCAGAGTGAATGCTGGTACGGTGGTTGCTTGCATAATTCACATCTTTGGTACACTACCAGTCAAAAGTTTGGACACACATACAAGGTATTTTCTTTATTTTGACTATTTTCTACATTGTAGAATAATAGTGGAGACATCAAAACTATGAACTAACACATATGGAATCATCTAGTAAGGTCAGTCAATACGGAAAATGTAAAGAACTTTGAACGTTTCTTCAAGTGCAGTCGCAAAAACAATCAAGCACTGTGACGAAACTGGCTCTCATGAGGACCGCCACAGGAATGGAAGACCTTTGCTGCAGAGGGTAAGTTCATTAGTTACCAGCCTCAGAAATTGCAGCCCAAATAAATGCTTCACAGAGTTCAAGTAACAGACACATCTCAACATCAACTGTTCAGAGGAGACTGTGTGAATCAGGCCTTCATGGTCGAATTGCTGCAAAGAAACCACTACTAAAGGACACCAATAAGAAGAAGAGACCTGCTTGGGCCAAGAAACACGAGCAATGGACATTAGACAGGTGGAAATCTGTCCTTTGGTCTGGAGTCCAAATTGGAGATTTTTGGTTCCAACCGCTGTGTCTTTGTGAGACGCAGTGTGGGTGAACGGATGATCTACGCATGTGTAGTTCCCACCGTAAAGCATGGAGGAGGAGGTGTTATGGTGCTTTGCTGGTGACACTGTCTGTGATGTATTTAGAATTCAAGGCACACGTAAACAGCATGGCTATCACAGCATTCTGCAGCGATATGCCATCCCATCTGGTTTGGGCTTAGTGGGACTATAATTTGTTTATCAACAGGACAATGACCCAACACACCTCCAGGCTGTGTAAGGGCTATTTTACCAAGAAGGAGAGTGATGGAGTGCTGCATCAGATGACCTGGCCTCCACAATCCCCCGAACTCAACCCAATTGAGATGGTTTGGGATGAGTCGGACTGCAGAGTGAAGGAAAAGCAGCCAACAAGTGCTCAGCATATGTGGGAACTCCTTCAAGACTGTTGGAAAAGCATTTCAGGTGATGCTGGTTGAGAGAATGCCAAGAGTGTGCAAAGCTGTCATCAAGCCAAAGGGTGGCTATTTGCAGAATCTCAAATATAAAACATATTTTGATTTGTTTAACACTTTTTTGGTTACTACATGATTCCATATGTGTTATTTCATAGTGTGATGTCTTCAATATTATTCTACAATATAGAAAATAGTAAAAATAAAGAAAAACCCTTGAATGAGTAGGTGTGTCCAAACTTTTGACCGGTAGTGTAAGTACCTGAGGTTTGTTGGAGTAGGGCACGTCCTCTGACTGGCCCCTCTGTAGAGTCCTATTTCTACTGCTGGACCACTGGCCCTCCTGAGACAGCTGCTCTCCTGACTCTCTTATGGCACTTCTAGGGCTTGGTCTGAGGTCACACACACACAACCATATTAGTTACATTATTAGTTAACGTGATGTGCTACATCTAACATTACCTGCTTTACTACCCGTGTACAGTATGTGTATGTTAATCCATTGATATTCATGACTCTATGTCTGCTAAGAAAACCCCATGGGTGGGCACTCACACTGCATCCCCATTGGTTAGAGAGGTGGTAGAGGGCAGGGGCTCTGGCTGAGACGCTGGTTCAGGCTGGGAGGATGGCAGGGGATTGGCACTGGTGATTGGCGTCACCTCCTCCTGCATATGGGTCATGGTCATGGGTCGGAAGAAGGTTGGACCCTTTTTACTCTACAGGAGACACAGAGAGAGGAGAAAATAATCAAGTGATATTATGAATGCATTGAATTCCATCACATTTCTAGCTCTTCATCTGGACCTCACAGTAGAGATACATTCAATGGATTTGGAGCCTATAACTCGCTAATAATTTGTCCCCAAAATAACACCATAGGGCCCAATGCCTTTTTGTCTGTATGGGTCGATTTATCTCGGGAGCATCCATGAGAGTCAGTCCCATGCATGAGTGCATATTTGAGGCCAATAGAGTTGGATAGAGGGCTCACTTGCCACAAAGCCTGTTTTTGCATGGGAAGCGCCATTGACGACTTTCACCATTTTGAAGAAGTGGAGATAACCCTCAATGGCCCTCCCCATACTGTCACAGAAGCAATTATGGCAAAGATGAGCCCTTTATCCAACTCTATGTTGGGGCCATATCCTACCTTAATTGTCCCTGTGAAGTCCAGTCCCAGTTGCTGTTCCAGTCTCTTGGCCCGGTTCTGCTTGTAGTAGTCAAAGATCATGAGGGCAGCGTAGACCTTCCCCACTGTCAGCTCTCGGTTTACAACCGCAAAGGGGCAAAGGAGCTCATTGAACTCATCAACTGAAAGAAGAGAAGGAAGAAGGTGAGATGGAAGATGGAGAGAGTAGTGGAGAAAAGCACTAGTTGTCTTCTCTCCACTACCACTAGATGGCAGCGAAGGAGACAGAATGAGGGCGAATGTACTGTAGTCAGGCCGTGTGTGTGTGTGTGTGTAAATATAGCTCCTCCCACATACACAGAGTAGACTGAACAAGCAGTAAAAAGAGCAGAATGAGTAGAAAGCAGCTGGGCCTACACACTCACTCAAGGGATGACTGGGATTTGGTGAAGCCTGTCTTTTCTGTCTTTCTAAGTTCTTTCTCTGTATTTCAGTTTCTCACTCACATCCTTTAACACACACACACACACACACACACACACACACACACACACACACACACACACACACACACACAGAGCTTGGCTTACTTTTATATGGTGTGACCAGCAGGTCAACAGTCTTCTGAGGCAGGTTGGGCCAGACTCTGGAGATCTCTTTCCTCAGGTCAGCGTCACACAGGCGCTGGGCCAGGACGCCTGAGGAGAGAAACTCCTATGTCACATCACATCCATCCACACTCGTTCATCAGCACCACACACTAATGTCCCACACATCCCTATCAGGGCCCATATGTATCAAGCATCTCAGAGTAGAGTGCTGATCTAGGATCAGGTCCCCCCCTGTCCATGTAAGTTAATTCATTTTGATCTAAAAGGCTAAACTGATCCGAAGTCAGCATTCCTACTGTTGATGCTTGATACATACGGCCCTGGACCTAGCAGGACAGGTTTATTAGGCCACCACCCTCTTCTTTGAATGATTACATATTGTGATTTCTTTAAGTAAACAAAATGAGTACCTTATTTTTCATATATTTTTTTACTTGATTTATGATTTGTATTTGCCATATTCATATTCTACTACTGTGGTTGGAGTGTGTTCATGTGTAGAGGTGCTTAGGTTAAAGGTCACTGACCAGATGCCAGTTTGATCTCCAGAGCGGTGCGGATGAGAGCCATCAGAGTGGATGTGAAATGCACCGTGTTGTCATCGGCGATGGGCATGTTCATCTTAACCAATCGCTAAGGAGAATAGAAACCATGGTGAGGGCCCATTAGAACACCCACGTTAGCACATGTTAGGATCAATAGCTCTTTGGGGAGGTTATGTGTGCTGGCTGTAGAGTATTTCCATGTTAAATGATGGAACCGAGACTGACACAAGTCCTGCAGAGTCTGAAACTGTCCTAATATGGACACTAAACATGCAGAATTAGTTGATATGTTTCACTTGAGAGTAAGTGTGGACTTCTGACAGCCAGTGGCTTGGCTTAGTTTCAGACCAGCACACAGAAGAGCTTTCCAAGGAACACAACAACACAAGACATCCCAGAGAGGAGAGAGAACATTCAGAGCAACACTCCATGCAAATGGTAATGTGAGAGTAAGACTATGGGTCGATGTTTGAGATGGACATTGAGAGGGACAACAAATCAACGCAATGTGCATTAGGACTCCTCAAAACATGTCAGGGTTTTATTTGGCTTAGAGAAATGTATGGTGAGTTCATCATCTTATGGACTTAATAGCAATTTACTAGAAACTATGAGTGGTGTGGATGAAGTGGAGTGTAGTTAGTCCTTTTCTGAATTCAGTGACCACATTACATAATGTCAGCATGCATCCAAGGCAAGCCCTGGAGTAGTATGTTTTAGTGCTGCTATGAAAGGATGAATGAATGAAACCATGTCTGTGTTATGGGGCCACACTCCTCCAAGCCTCCTTTCATTGTGAGGAGGCTAGCAGAGCAGAGTGATAGGCTGCATCCCAAAAGGCACACTATTCCCTATATAGTGCACTACTTTTGACTAGGGCCCATAGGGCTCTGGGCAAAACTAGTGCAATATATGGGGAATAGACTGCCATTTGAGACTCAGCCATAGTGACATACATGCATGTAGAGCTTGATGCAGGGCTAATGGGGAGGCAGAATGAGGATGCACACAAACACATGCAGACACTGGGAAGGACGGATCCTATTGTCTTCAAGCCAAGTGGAGGGGAATCGCAGATGAGATGTGTGTGTGTTTGTGTGTGTGTGTGTGTGTGTATGTGCGTGCAAGCAAGCCTCCCTTGAGCTCAAGAGAACGTACTTCCATGCGGGAGTTGTTACAATACAGAAGGAGAAGAGGAGAGGGGGAAGAGGAGGAAGTGATGTGGAGGGTCTGACATGTCATGTAGTGTCCACTAGAGAGACAGGAAAACCACAGACACGTGAGGCCATCACCCAAACATACAAATACTGTATATACACATACAGGTACACACATGATGTCAAAAACACACGCACACACGCATGCATACACCCACCAGATCACCCACACACACAAAGTGGAGCTGGGCAGATGAGAGGAAGGAAAAATCCCAACAGGGAGGACAAGAAAGGTAATTTAGCAGGGATTGTGACGCTCTGCTCATAGCCAGAGCGGAAAATGAGGAGTTGAAAACAGAGGGTGACAGAGGGACAACAGAGATACACAGGAACCACTGTGTTCATTAGGGAGGGAGTTGAGCTAAATGCATTTTCCACAACAGCAAAGAAAGGGAGGAAGTAAAATAAAAAAGCCTAGCCTCGCTCCAGTGTGCCGCATATCTCTATCATTTCTCCCTGTCGATTCATCTCTCAAAAGCTGGAGTTATATTTGGAGAAGCCACACAAGTCAGACCCAACTAGTCGCTTGGCAGACGCTTTTATCCATGATTCATCTAGACAGCTGTGTACATGATAGAACCACTCACAGTGGTAAACGCCACATACAAAGTGTACCTGAGTACTGAACAATCATTACCTTGGTTCTATAGGACTCTAATTAAAGGGGAATTCTGCCACTTTCTAACCTCGTATTCATTATCTCATTTTATGTGAAACGGCACGTTTGTTTAAAAATATAAAAAGAAAAAATCCAAAGAAAGTAAATACAGTGATTTTTTTTGCAAACTTCATGGTAATAGTGTGGCTTGTGTGAACTGTCAGTCTTAATTTCTTCTTCGTTGAACAGAATGAAAACATAGTTTAAAAACAAAACAAGTCTAAATGGCCAGACGGAGAACACTAAACACCAAACACTGAGAGAAGGCAGAAGGCAGAAGAGAACGTCACAAACAGACAGAAAGAGCAACAACAAGGACACAACAAGAGCACAGCAGGAAGTGGCTGTGACAGACTGACAGAAGCCGGGATATACAGGGCAGGTGGGAGTGAGCGACAGGGGTGAGAGGAAGACTGCTCGGGGAAGAAGTGGGAGGAGGGGGAAAGAGTCTACCTTGTAGGCGATTCTGGGCGGACATTTCTTTCCCAAACCTAGCGGAGGGGACATGTGACGGAGCATCTCGTACATATCGAGGTAGGTCATACGGCCACTTCACAGGGGGAGAAGTCACAGGTGGAGATCACAGGGGTCAGAGAGAGGGTTGGAGGTATCCAGGTAAGGTAGGAGGAGGGGGCAGGGGGAGTTAGAAATTACCAAAAGAAGATGGTAAAACAGAAGAGAAAATGACAAAAACAGACATCTGTGTTATTTTAGATGTACAGGGCAGTGGGCAGTGGATTCAGGGGCGGGATGCCATCCCTGTCCTGCATGAAACAAGGATGGATCCCAGGATTGGAGAGGAAGAGGGTATGGTGTTTTCTGGGAATTCAGATGGCAGAATCATGAGGTTGGATTGATCATGATGGGTACAGTGGCTTGCGAAAGTATTCAACCCCCTTGGCATTTTTCCTATTTTGTTGCCTTACAACCTGGAATTAAAATGGATATTATTATTTTTTTCTTGTGAAACAAACAAGAAATAAGACAGAAGAAAAACTTGAGCGTGCATAACTATTCACCCCCCCAAAGCCACCTTTTACAGCAATTACAGCTGCAAGTCTCTTGGGGTATGTCTCTATAAGCTTGGCACATCTAGCCACTGGGATTTTTGCCCATTCTTCAAGGCAAAACTGCTCCAGCTCCTTCAAGTTGGATGGGTTCCGCTGGTGTACAGCAACCTTTAAGATATACCACAGATTCTCAATTGGATTGAGGTCTGGGCTTTGACTAGGCCATTCCATGACATTTAAATGTTTCCCCTTAAACCACTCAAGTGTTGCTTTAGCAGTATGCTTAGGGTCATTGTCCTGCTGGAAGGTGAACCTCCGTCCCAGTCTCAAATCTCTGGAAGACACACAGGTTTCCCTCAAGAATTTCCCTATATTTAGCGCCATCCATCATTCCTTCAATTCTGACCAGTTTCCCAGTCCCTGCCAACGAAAAACATCCCCACAGCATGATGCTGCCACCACCTTGCTTCACTGTGGTGATGGTGTTCTCGGGGCGATGAGAGGTGTCGGGTTTGCGCCAGACATTGTGTTTTCCTTGATGGCCAAAAAGCTAAATTTTAGTCTCATCTGACCAGAGTACCTTCTTCCATATGTTTGGGGAGTCTCCCACATGCCTTTGGCGAACACCAAACGTGTTTGCTTATTTTTTTCTTTAAGCAATGGCTTTTTTCTGGCCACTCTTCCGTAAATCCCAGCTCTGTGGAGTGTACGGCTTAAAGTGGTCCTATGGACAGATACTCCAATCTCCGCTGTGGAGCTTTGCAGCTCCTTCAGGGTTATCTTTGGTCTCTTTGTTGCCTCTGATTAATGCCCTCCTTGCCTGGTCCGTGAGTTTTGGTGGGCGGCCCTCTCTTGGCAGGTTTGTTGTGGTGCCATATTCTTTCTATTTTTTTATAATGGATTTAATGGTGCTCCGTGGGATGTTCAAAGTTTCTGATATTTTTTTATAACCCTACCCTGATCTATACTTCTCCACAACTTTGTCCCTGACCTGTTTGGAGAGCTCCTTGGTCTTCATGGTGCCGCTTGCTTGGTGGTGCCCCTTGCTTAGTGGTGTTGCAGACTCTGGAGCCTTTCAGAACATGTGTATATATACTGAGATCATGTGACACTTAGATTGCACAAGGTGGAAATGATTTAACAAATTATGTGACTTCTGAAGGTAATTGGTTGCACCATATCTTATTTAGGGGCTTCATAGCAAAGGGGGTGAATACATTTGCACGCACCACTTTTCCGTTATTCATTTTTTAGAATTATTTGAAACAAGTTATTTTTTGGGGGACTATTTTGTGTATGTCCATTGCATGAAATCCAAATAAAAATCCATTTAAATTACAGGTTGTAATGCAACAAAATAGGAAAAACGCCAAGGGGGATGAATACTTTTGCAAGGCACTTTATGTACAGTACCAGTCAAATGTTTGGACACACCTACTCATTCAAGTATTTTTTACTATTTTCTACATTGTAGAATAATAGTTAAGACATCAAAACTATGAAATATATGGAATCATGTAGTAACCAAAAAAGTGTTATATTTTAGATTCTTCAAAGTAGCCACCCTTTGCCTTGATGAAAGCTTTGCACACTCTTGGCATTCTCTCAATCAGCTTCACATGGAATGCTTTTCCAACTGTCTTGAAGGAGGTCCCACATATGCTGAGCACTTGTTGGCTGCTTTTCCAACTCATCCCAAACCATCTCAATTGAGTTGAGGTCGGGTGATTGTGGAGGCCAGGTCATCTGATGCAGCACTCCATCACTCTCCTTCTTGGTAAAATATCCTTTACACAGCCTGGAGGTGTGTTGGGTCATTGTCCTGTTGAAAAACAAATGATAGTCCCACTAAGCACAAACCAGATGGGATGGTGTATCGCTGGTTAAGTGTGCCTTGAATTCTAAATAAATCAAAGACAGTGTCACCAGAAAAGCACCCCCACACCATCACACCTCCTCCTCCATGCTTCATGGTGGTAACCACACATGCAGAGATCATCTGTTCACCTACTCTGCGTCTCACAAAGACACGGCGGTTGGAACCAAAGATCTCAAATTTGGACTCATCAGACCAAAGGACAGATTTCCACCGGTCTAATGTCCATTGCTCCTGTTGTTTGGCCCAAGCAAGATCTTCTTCTTATTGGTGTCCTTTAGTAGTGGTTTCTTTGTAGCAATTCGACCATGAAGGTCTGATTCACGCAGTCTCCTCTGAAAAGTTGATGTTGAGATGTGTCTGTTACTTGAATTCTGTGAAGCATTTATTTGGGATGCAATTTCTGAGGCTGGTAACTCTAATGAACTTATCCTCTGCAGCAGAGGTAACTCTGGGTCTTCCTTTCCTGTGGCGGTCCTCATTAGAGCCAGTTTCATCATAGCGCTTGATGGGTTTTGCGACTGCACTCAAAGAAACTTTCAAAGTTCTTGACATTTTCCAGATTGAATGACCTTCATGTCTTAAAGTAATGATGGGCTGTCGTTTCTCTTTGCTTATTTGAGCTGTTCTTGCCATAATATGGACTTGGTCTTTTACCAAATAGGGCTATCTTCTGTATACCAACCCTACCTTGTCACAACACAACTGATTCCTCAAACGAATTAAGAAGGAAAGAAATTCCACAAATTAACTTTTAACAAGGCACACCTGTAAATTGAAATGTATTCCAGGTGACTACCTCATGAAGCTGGTTGAGAGAATGGCAAGAGTGTGCAAAGCTGTCATCAAGGCAAAGGGTGGCTACTTTGAAGAAACTCAAATATAAAATATATTTTGATTTGTTTAACACTTTTTCGGTTACTACATGAATCCACATGTGTTATTTCATAGTTTTGATGTCTTCACTATTATTCTACAATGTAGAAAATTGTAAAAAAATTAAGAAAAACCCTGGAATGAGTAGGTGTGTTCAAACTTTTGACTGGTACTGTATGCTCAGGGCAAGGTTGCAGCTTCACTGTTCAGATGTCTTCTGTTCCTGCATGCTCCGAGACATCAGCGGTAACCAAATTGAACATCGGAAACAAAGCACACAATTCTCATAACCTTTACTTTACTCTGTGTGTGCGTGCACTGGTTCAAACAGTCTCTCAGGCCTACTTTGAGAAAACTATATAGGCCTAATGCATACTGCATTCAGTATGGTGAAAACAGAGCTTGATGATGAAGCCTGGTCAGTATACTGTAATGAGACTTACATTGTGGCATTGTTTTCCATTAGTTGCCATGGTTACCCACCAGATGGTTAGTATGGGAGGTGTGTGTGGTTGAATCTCTGGCACTAGGAGTCATTCACATTCATTCACTCTCCACTTCCAAGTCATCCCTTTATGATTAAGGGGTGTGTGGGGTTGCAAACCTTGTAGGCCACCCTATTAGGACACTTCTTCCCTAAGCCGAGAGGAGGCGAGATAAAACGCAACAATTTGTACATATCCTGATAGCATATCCTTCCGCTGTAAAAGACAGACAGGTTAGAGGAGGTTAGGACACAAACACAACCATTTCCAATGACTTAACATGTACAGTGCCTTCGGAAAGTACTCAGACCCCTTGACTTTTTCCACATTTTGTTACGTTACAGCCTTATTCTAAAATGGATTAAATAAATAAAAATCCTCAGCAAACTACACACAATACCCCATAATGACAAAGCGAAAACAGGTTTTTAGAAAGGTTTGCAAATGTATATAAAAAAAAAACTGAAATACCTTATTTACATAAGTATTCAGACCCTTTGCTATGAGACTCGAAATTGAGCTCAGGCGCATCCTGTTTCCATTGATCATCCTTGAGATGTTTCTACAACTTGATTGGAGTCCATCTGTGATAAATTCAATTGATTAGACATTATTTGGAAAGGCACACACCTGTCTATATAAAGGTCCCAAAGTTGACAGTGCATGCCAGAGCAAGAACCAAGCCAAGAGGTCGAAGGAATTGTCCGTAGAGCTCCGAGACAGGATCGTGTCGAGGCACAGATCTGGGGAAGGGTACCAAAACATTTCTGCAGCATTGAAGGTCCCCAAGAACACAGTGGCCTCCATCATTCTTAAATGGAAGAAGTTTGGAACCACCAAGACTCTTCCTAGAGCTGGCCGCTCGGCCAAACTGAGCAATCGGCGGAGAAGGGCATTGGTCAGGCAGGTGACCAAGAACCCGATGATCACACTGACAGAGCTCCAGAGTTCCTCTGTGGAGATGGGAGAACCTTCCAGAAGGACAACCATCTCTGCAGCACTCCACCAATCAGGTCTTTATGGTAGAGTGGCCAGACGGAAGCCACTCCTCAGTAAAAGGCAAATGACAGCCCGCTTGGAGTTTGCCAAAAGGCACCTAAAGGACACTCAGACCATGAGAAACAAGATTCTCTGGTCTGATGAAACCAAGATTGAACTCTTTGGCCTGAATGCCAAACGTCACATCTGGAGGAAACCTGGCACCATCCCTACGGTGAAGTATGGTGGTGGCAGGATCATGCTGTGGGGATGTTTTTCAGCAGCAGGGACTGGGAGACTAGTCAGGATCGAGGCAAAGATGAACGGCGCAAAGTACAGAGAGATCCTTGATGAAAACCTGCTCCAGAGCACTCTGGACCTCAGACTGGGGCGAAGGTTCAACCTTCCAACAGGACAATGACCTTGAGCACACAGCCAAGCCAACGCAGGAGTGGCTTCGGGGCAAGTCTCTGAATATCCTTGAGTGGCCCAGCCAGAGCCTGGACCCGATCGAACATCTCTGAAGAGACCTGAAAATAGCTGTGCAGCAACGTTTCCCATCCAACCTGACAGAGCTTGAGAGGATCTGCAGAGAAGAATGGGAGAAAATCCCCAAATACAGGTGTGCCAAGCTTGTAGCATCATACCCAAGAAGACTCGAGGCTATAATCGCTGCCAAATGTGCTTCAACAATGTACTGAGTAAAGGGTCTGAATACTTATGTAAATGTGATATTAAATAAATTAGCAAACATTTCTAAAAACCTGTTTCTGCTTTGTCATTATGGGGTATTGTGGGTAGATTGATGAGGGAAAAAAACAATTTAATCCATTTTAAAAGAAGGCTGTAACCTAAGAAAATGTGGAAAAAGTCAAGGGGTCTGAATACTTTCCGAATGCACTGTATATCCTCCATTGCGCGCAGTCTTGGTCATTGAATAAAGCCCACCTGTAGATATAGTGCAGATATACACTGAGTATACAAAACATTAAGAACTCTTTCCACAACATAAACTGACCAGGTGAATCCAGGGGTGGAACTCAATATTTGGAAGGTGTTCCTAATGTTTGGTATAATCAGTGTATAAATAACAACATGACTACAGGGTTCCTGGAAGGTTATAAGTGTGTCCCAAATGTAACCCTATTGCCTATAAAATGCAAGGGCCCATAGGGAGTCCCTCCCTGCCCGTCAAACGTTGTGAAATGTCACAGAGTCATCCCACTGGAACTTAGAGCCATCTTTGTTTTGTCACCCCTCACTATGACACTTCATCTCCCTCTCTTCACCTCTTCACTCCTGAACCTTAAACTGATGCTGTCTTGACTCAGGGGGGGGGGGGGGGGGGGGGGGGGAATCACCTGGAGGAGGATTAAAGACACGTACCAGGCAGCAGGGTCGTACTCGGCCCAAACACGGATGAATTCGTCCAGGTGGTGAGGCCCCAGGATAGAGGCGTCTCTGGTCAGGTACTCAAAGTTGTCCATGATGACCGCCACAAACAGGTTGAGCATCTGGAGGGAGGGAGAGGGAGGTGGAGAGGTGAATGGTCCTTCATTGCTGATCATTGGTCAATCATTGGACATTGGTCATTCTGATTGGTCATTCATTTGTGATGGCCCATACTGACCAGAAAGGAGCAGAGGAAGATGAAGGAGACAAAGTAGAAATAAGCAAAGTCACTGCCGCATTCTTTCCCTGCGGACCCTGACAGCTTATCACACGGACGGTTACTCAGACACGACAGCATGATCTCATGCCACGCCTCGCCTGTTGCACTCCTGCAACGGGACACACACACACACACACATTGTAGATACACACATATACACAAACAAACACATGCAATGTAAGCAGTGTATATCCATCATTGGACACTGTATATCCACCACAAACACCACCATGAGCATAAGGAACTACATGGCTATTTTACTACATTATATTGCAATAGAAAGAATAGAAAGACATGAGAAAAGGTCTAAAAGAAGAATATGGTGAATATGGAGATTGTGGAGGGATGGTCACCTGAACAGAAGCATCAGAGCCTGGAAGAAGGTCTGGAAGTTGTTGTGGTGGTTGATGGCTGATTCCTCATTCAGCTCAATGTTTCCAAACACCTGAAGGAAGCAGAAAGGGTCAGCATAGCAGTTAGAGGGATTCCCTTTATGCTATCTATAGGTATGTCCCAAATGGCACCCTATTCCCTATATAGTGCACTACTTTTGACCAGTCCTATGGATTCTGGTCAAAAGTAGTGCACTATGTAGGGAATAAGGTGCTATTTGAGACACACTTATGTGCGAGTTAGAAATAGGCAAGTGATTTGTATAAGAAAGTGGTCCCAGGAGCTAGTGCTGATTGTATCAGCCTTTGCAGGATTCAATATGATGTAATGTAATGCAATCTCCAAAAAACACATTGGCCACTTTGGCCAGGAATCATTACTTTTCTCAAATCCTGTCAGAGTAGGTAGACGATGTGTGTGTGTGTGTGTCTGTCATCACACTACCACCACCATACTTGACCATTGGTATGAGGTTTTTACTGTGGAATGCAGTGTTTGGTTTTCGCCAGACATAACGGTGGCCATGTCGTCCAAAAAGTCGACTCACATTGGCCAAAAAGCACCTGGATGATCGTCAAGACTCCTGGAAGAACGTTCTATGGACAGATGAGTCAAAACTGGAACTTTTTGGATGACATGGGTCCCTTTATGTCTGGCGAAAACCCAACACTGCATTCCACTGTAAGAACCTCATACCAATGGTCAAGAATGGTGATGGTAGTGTGATAGTTTGGGATGCTTTAATGCCTCAAGAACTGGATGACTTGCCATCATTGAAGGAACCATGAATTCTGCTCTGTATCAGAGAATTATAAAGGAAAATGTGAGCTGAAGCGCTACTGGGTCATGCAGCAAGACAATGATCCAAAACACACAAGCAAGTCTACATCAGAATGGCTGAAAAGCAACACATTTAAAGTTTTGGAATGGCCAGACCTAAACCCCATTGAGATGTTTTGGCAGGACCTGGAACCCACAAATGTTGCTGAGTTAAAATAGTTCTGCATGGAAGAGTGGGACCAAATTCCTCCACAGCAATGTGAGAGACTGATCAACAATTACAGGAAGCGTTTGGTTGCAGTCTTTGCAGCTGAAGGTGGCACAACCAATGATTGAGTGTAAGGGGGCAATTACTTTTTCACACAGATGCATTGGGTGTTGCATAAATTTGTTTATAAAATAAATGATTTAATTATCAACATTTTGTATTATTTGTTCACTCAGGTTCCCTAATATTTGGTTTTGGTTGAAGATATAATAACATTCAGTGTCAAAAATATGCAAAAATAGAGAAAATCAGAACGGGGGCAAATACTTTTTCACTGCATGTGTGTGTGCACGTAGATGCATGTTTGTGTGTGTGTGCACGTAGATGCATGTGTGTGTGTGTGTGTGTGAGTGCGTTTGTGCGTGTGTGAGACAGTCACACAGTGTGATCTCCCATTGAGACCACACCAAAACATCCTCAGGGCCTTCATCCATTATTAACATGCCTCAGGGCCA